GCCACACAAAAGGCTCTCAGGTCCACTGCCGCCATCAGCACACTCAGGAGTCACAGAGACAGAGGCCAGGAAGGGCGCAGGCATGCGCGCACACCCACGCCACTCACCTGCCCAGCTCCTCTCCCATCTCATAGTGGTCCTCGACATCTTCCTGCCTGAATGTGGACATGGCGGCGGCCTGCCTTCTGGAGGACTCTTGGGACAGGGGAGCTGGGGAGACAAGGGCGAGAGGAGTTGGTCATCAGGGATCCCATCTTTCCAAGAGGCCTGACTCCTCCCCGGGCATAAATGACACCCCTCGTCAATGCCCCAGGTTTCCTGTGGTCATCTAAAGCCCCCACCCAGCATTTGGTCATGGCAGAGCAAACCTGTCATCCCAGCACTGGGGAGAAGGCTGGAGGGTTACAAGTTCAAAGGCATCCTCAAATACCTGGGGGAGTTGGAAGCCAGGCTGGGCTACATGAGTGTGTGTGCGTGTGCGTATGTGTGCGTGCGCACACGCGTGCGCAGGGGACCGGAGAGATGGCTCGGATACGAAGAGTGGGTGCTGCTCTCAAGAGTATCCGAGCTGGGTTCCCAATGCCCACAGCAGCTGACTGACTATACCTGCCACGCTGTGACCTAACTCCCTCTCCCGGCCACCCCAGGTGCCTGCACGCACACACGCACGCACGCACGCACGCACGCCACCCAGAAACAGGTACAGATAAAATTACAAGAACAAAGTGACATCGCACACCGCACACGTAACCATAGACGCAGAGTGCACGTCCCCGACTGCTACCCCAGCACACCCTGGGGTGCATGCGATCTCTGCTCTCAATGTTCTTCCACAGCCTCCAGCTCTGGGGTCCCTAGCGAGCTTCCCCACCTGTCAATCATGCCCACCTGCACCCCGGAACTCAGGGGCGTCGCCAGAGGGCTAACGCATGCGCAGTCACTGCGGCCCGTCTCCCGGGGCTGAAGCGTCCTGAGGCCGACTCACCCCTCGCGGGTCCCCGCCCCCGGCTCCCGCCCTCGCCGCGTGCCCCCCGGGTGCCCGACACGCCGCCCCGGCCCGTCCGTACCATCCACGGTCCGCAGGTCCCCGCCCGACGCCAGCGTAGCCCCGCGACCTCCTGCGCGTTCCCCAGGAGGCATCTGCGCATGTGCCAAACGCGCAGACACACCCCTGCAGAGACCGGAAGCGGGCGCTAGTTGGCCCGTGTCACGACCAGGAGGACGGAAGCCAGCGCTCATTGGTCAGCATGACCACCCCAGGCGGAAGTGCCGCAGGTGACGTGGCCCTGTGAGCCGGAAGCCAGCGCTGATTGGCCAGCAGCACCGGCGCCCGCACGACACCAGCGACGTCGGGGAGCGCGGCTGCCATTGGTCGGAGCTCCCTGCTGACCGCATTGGCCCAGGCCCGGCGGGTCAGCGCCCGGGGCGGGTTCGAGGGGAGGCCACGGTGAGCTCGGGCCGCACCAGTCCAACCCGACGGCCGCACAGCACAGGAGCAGCACGGAGGTCAACCATAGCAGTTTATTATCCAAGGGTCGCACAGCCAGGGCCCGGCAGGCCGCCCGCCTCCCCTCTGGGAAACTCCACGGGGGCCATGGACGGACCATGGACGGACCGTGAACCTCTGAATGCATTTATTTAGACATTTGACATCTCGGCATTTCCCTCTGAAAACGATAGAGCTGCGTCCCGCCCGCCCCATGGCCCGCCAGTCCAGCCTGCAGGAGACTCCACTGCCTTGGAATTCCGAAATAAATAGAATCGGCGTCAAGTGTGAGTGTTGAGTGATGGCAGGGTGGCCCCGGCGACCCCCGGGGCGCACTATGGGGACAGTCTCAGGTGTCTTCTGATGGGCGGGCACCGTGCAGTGTGGGCAGTCCCGGCCGCCTACAGTTTGTCCAGGAAGTTGTCCAGCGCGGGGATGCCCTCTTTGAGGCCTTTGCGCTTGCGGGGTCTCGGCCACCACTTGGCTGGGTCGGCTGCTGTTGTCGAAGGGGTCCCCAGGCAGGATCTGCCAGTGGTCGAACACACACTGTGGGAAGGCCTGGCCACCGGTGTTGGAGCGCAGGTCGGCTGTGAACCCTGGACAAAGGTCGGATAAGAAGTTCAGCAAGAAGCCTAGCCCTGGGTTTGTGCCTCCCCTGGTGCATGTTTAGATGACCTGGTGGGAACCCAGGGAGGGGTGACTGGGCTTCCTGTCCAGTCTTACATGGTTTCTCTGTATCCCTGGCTATTCTGAGACTCACTCTGTAGACCAGGCTAGCCTCACCGCCAGGGTATGTACAGACCCCCCACTGGTATGCAAACAAGCCACCCCAGAGAGCTGAGGGCTGGGACACCAGGGAAGAGCCATGGCACTCACCAAAGGACTCGTTGACAGGCAGGTAGGCCTTGACCACAAACATGGGGGGTGCCAGCCACCTGGGACTCCTCAAACACATGACCACGCTTCCTGTTCAGGACACCGTAGATGCCACCCACAACTTGCTCAGGACACTGAGGAGGAAGAGCGGCAGTAAGAATTGGTGCACAGGAAGAAGACGGGCGGGCGGGCCTCCACAGCCAGCCAAGTTTACCTGGATCTCCACCAGGTAGATAGGCTCCATGAGGCGGGGCTGTGCGGTCAGCACACTGGCGTAGAGGCAGCGACGGGCTGTGGGGATGATCTGGCCACCACCCCGGTGGATGGCATCAGCGTGCAGGGTCACGTCGTGAACATCGAAGCGCACACCACGCATGTTCTCCTCACAGAGCGCACCCTGTGGAAACCTGGCTAGTCAGACCCAGCCATATCCCAACACTGATTCAGATCTCAGCCCTGATCCCCGGGAGGAACCCCGAGGCCCCAAGCACTCACCTCCTTGGTGGCCCACTGGAAGCCAGCCACCACACTGTCCTTGATCTCGTTCAGGTACTGCACACCCTTGGTGATGTCGGTGAGAATGTTGGGGCCAGTGCCATCAGGCCCGAAACACCAGATCTTTCGGGCTTCAGCGACATCCCACTCATACTTCTCAGCCAGATAGCGTGCCCGAGCCTTGAGCTCCTGGCGAGCAGACACTTCTCCCTTGTCGATGTCCCTCAGCCAGGCCGTCAGGGAAGGGCCGGGCCTTCATGTACAGGCGGTTGTGCTTGTTGGGGGACTTGGACAGGCAGAGCACATTAGACTCCTCACTCACTGTCTCCCGGGTACGAGACAACAGGGTCCGATTTCTGCAGGAGGAGACACGCGGGGTCACTGCTGAGAAGCCCTTGCGGGCAGCAGCAAAGGAGCAAGCCCCTGCTCCTGGCAGGCCCCTGTGCGGATGCCCACCTTGATGGGGATGCAGGCATGGTCCTCCTCCAAGTCCTTGAGGCAGATCTCCAGGTGCAGCTCCCCTGCTCCTGCAATGATGTGCTCCCCGGACTCCTCAATGATTGCACTGTTGGGGAACAATGGTCAGCACCCTGCACCCCCGGGAGGCAGCCCCCAGGTCTGCAGGCAGCACAACCGCACCAGGCCTGGCGCTGGCTGCCCTCCTCTCCCAGGCTCCCCCGCCTCCTCTAATCACAGCACACCAGTGAGCCCTGAGGCACACCTGCACCATGGGGTCGGACTTGGCCAGCCGCTTCAGCCCCTCCACCAGCTTGGGCAGGTCAGCGGGGTTCTTGGCCTCCACAGCCACTCTGACGACAGGGCTGACGCTGAACTTCATCACACGCATGTTGTGTGCGTGCTCAAAGGTGGTGATGGTCCCAGTCTTCACCAGGAACTGGTCTACCACCGACCAGGCCCACAATGTTCCCGCAGGGCACGTCCTCGATCGGCTCCACATAGCGGCCCATCATCAGGATGGTTCTAGAAGGAAGGACGGAGGTCAACGGGGGCCACCATGGGAAGCAGCCAGGGCTCAGGCAGACGGGGTTGCAGCTGCAGGATGGTGCCCACCTCTGGATGGGCTTCAGGTACAAGTCCTCCTTCTTCCCAGGGGGTGTAGTTGGGACCCATGATCCGGACCTTGAGTCCCGTCGACACCACCCCGGAGAACACTCTACCGAAGGCATAGAAGCGGCCTTTGTCCGAGGTTGGCACCATCTTGGAGATGTACATCAATGAGAGGGCCCTTGGGGTCACAGCTTTTAATGCCTGGATAGAAAGGAGTTCAAGTCACCGTCTGTTGACTCTGGGGGACGCAGAGCAGGGCATGGATGGCCCCCCAACACCTACCCATGGCGGCCTCGTCATCAGGTGGCCCCTCGTACAGCAGTTCACAGCGGTACTTCTGTGCGGTGACAGGGGACGGCAGGTGGATGGTGATCATCTGGAGGAGGGCGTCCCCGGCGGGCAGCCAGCGCCGCATCACGGCTTTGAGCAGGGGCTTGCCCTCCTTGTCCTTGTCCTCGCTGTCCAGCTTGATGTCCAGCTTCTCGATCAGCTTGGCCGTCTCCTCCTTTCTGAAGTTCATGATGGCGTCGAACACCTGTACAGAAGAGGGAAACAGAAGAGGAGACCAGGGGAGCTGATTCCCCAGGTGAGGGGACTCGAGGGCCTGCTGCCAGTGGACAGGCCGCAGCTCACCCACCTTGAAGATGGGGTCCAGGATGAGCTGGCAGAAGGTGCGGGGGAGCTTCTTTCCGTCGGGGCTGTTAGCAGACTTGCTGAATTTGCCATTGGCTGGATCAAAGTACCTGGAGGGGGAGGGGTCACGTCACACCACCCTGAACAGGGGTCTTGAGTAGTGCAGGTGAAGCAGGACACCCGACGCTCACTTACCGGTCCCCCCACAGCTTCTTCATCATGTCCTCCACTTTCTTCGCCCGTTCGGCTGGCCCCAACTGGCCCTCGCCTTTGGCTGCAAATTTGGCTACATACATCTCTGCAAACTGCTTCAGAGTGAAGGCCCAGCCATGCAGGCCAGAACCGAAGCCCACGGTGCCCAGAACGGGGTCGATCTGGAGGAGGAGAGCAGCACTGAGCCAAGGAACATCTGTAGAAGCCCACCCAGCCTAGAGACCCTCAGGCTCAGACACTGAGTTTCTTCAACAGACATCAGGTCAAAGTGAAGAATTTCAGTCATCATGTGTGGGCCCAGATCCCCACGGCCACTGACCCAACCCCACAGAGTAGGATCCGCACCATGATATTGCCCATGGGCCCACTCTCGCCCTCGCCGTAGGTAGAGATGATGACGTTGACATTCTCCACAATGCGCTGGAAAGTCTGGTACAGCTCCTCAGGCTCCAGCTGCAGCTCCAGCAGAGCGCGGTCCATCTTATTCATCATCAGCACGGGCTTGATGCGCTCGGCGATGGCCTGCCGCAGCACGGTCTCCGTCTGCACACACACGCCTGTGCACAGAGCAGGCTTTGAAGGGGTGGCTTTCTCTTGGTTTTTCAAGACAGGGAATCCCTGTAGCCTGGCCTTGAACTCACTCTGTAGCCCAGGCTGGCCTCGAACTCAGAGATTCACCTGGCTCTGCCTCCCAGATGCTGGGATTAAAGGCGTGTGCCACCGCTGCCTGAGTTTGTGAGCTCATGATGGCTGGCAGATGTCAGATCCCCTGTGCCTGGACGGTCCCCTGGAGGAGCAGCAGGGACCCACAGTGCTGTCTCGAATCCCGAGAATGGTGAATGCGTGTGTGTTTCTGAGTGGGAACGTGTGCAGAAGCGCAGCTTCCCAAGGTTTACAGGTAGCTTAGTTCTTGTGTCTTCTGCAGGAGCACACAGGGCTCGAAACCACGTGACAGCTTTCGAGTCTCACAAGAGGCTCCCTGTACAGACCCGGCTGTCCTTGACTTCAAGAGTTCCATCTGCCACCTTCCTGCTGCTTTCTCACGTCCAAGGACTGCACCACCACACCCTATCTTAAATTAACCTTAACTCTCTCTCAGTGGTGGCGCACGCCTTTAATCCCAGCTAATCCCAGCCCTGGGAGGCAGAGGCAGGAGAATCTCTGTGAGTTCAAGGCCAGCCTGGTCTACTGAGCGAGATCCAGGACAGGCTCCAAAATTACAGAGAAACCCTGTCTTGAGAGAAGAAAAACTTGTCTCTCCCTCACTGTACAATCCCCACACTGCACGGGGCCCACAGCATCAGGCCAGGCACCACCCCTGCAGGCCTCCCCAGGCCGCCCCTCCCCTGCTCACCAGACACGCAGTCCACCACCACCAGAGCTCCATCGGTGACGCGCAGGGCAGCGGTCACCTCCGAGGAGAAGTCCACGTGTCCTGGGGAGTCGATGAGGTTGATGAGGAAGCCGGAGCCGTCCTTGCTCTGCTTGATGAAGTTCAGGTCGTTCTCAGAGAGCTCGTAGAAGAGGGAGATGGCGCTGGGGTCACAGAGGGGACACAGGGTCAGCCCCTCCTCCTCCTGGCTCAGCCGCCCCGATCGCAGCAGGGCAGTGACCGCGGACACCCACAGCCCGCTTACGTGGACTTGATGGTGATGCAGCGCTCCTGTTCGTCCTTCCGAGTGTCGGTGAAGCGGGTCTCCCCGGCTCTGGCCGAGGCGATGATGCCCGCCTTGCACACCAGGGAGTCAGTCAACGTGGACTTGCCGTGGTCCACGTGAGCGATGACGGACATGTTCCTGATGTTGGCTTTCTTGTCCATGATGGCACGGATCTGGTCCACCGTGAAGTTCACCTGTGGGGGAGGGCCGGTGCGAGGGTCTGAGGACTCGGCCCGGCAGGCGGCGGCCCCGCACCATGTCCACACCCCCGTGAACGCGCCGCCTCGCCAACATGGAGGGCCAGGAGGGCACGGTGACTCACGCCCGGGGCACAGGGATCAGGAGTCCACGGCCCGCGTGTCAGCCGCGCAGGCCTCGGTAAGCAAACAGCACGGGACAGGGGCGGTGCGAGCACGGTGGGACTGCCCCGGCCCCCCGGCCGTGGGAGCCAGGCAGGCCACCCAGGCGGGCCACCGGAGGTCCCTGCGGCAGGGCCCGGGGGACTGACAGCCGCGAGCGCACACACGGGGACCCTCCGCTTCCCCAACGCCAACCAGGGCCCCGCGCCAAGGTCACGCCGGGACGGGCGGCCAAACGGCAGCGCCCGGGCGCTCCGGGCGGGCGCCGCGGGCCGTGCGCGCACCGACCCCAGCGTGGGCGACCCGCTCCGAGGGCAGCCCTCCCCGCGGGCCGCGCGCCCGCCCGCCCGCCCTCCGCCGCATCGGCATCCGGACGGCCGCCGCCGGCCACACCGGGCCCGGAGGAGGGAACCGGGCGCCGGCGGCCGCGGCCCGGGGCGCGCAGACATGGCGCCCGCCGCCCGCCCGTCCACGTCCCGCCGCGGCCGCCATGTCTGCTCCCCCGTCCGCCCCGGCGGGGCGCCACGGCCGCCCCCCGCCGCCCCGGGGCCCCGGCTCGGCCCCCGGGCCCCGCCGCGCCGCGGTCACTCACCATGGCGACGGATGGCGACGGATGCTCACGGGCAGACGAGGCGAGCGAGGCGCGCCGGCGATGGCGGCGGCTGCGGCGGAAGAGACCGCTGACGTCAACGCCGCGGCTTTTATAGGCCGGCGCCGGTTGGGCGCGTCACGTGTCGGCGCGCGCGCGCCGCGGGTCTGGGTGGCCGGGCCGGCCGCGGAGGGCACTGCGCGTGCGCGGACCCCGCGGCTGGGATTTAACCCCCGGAGCGCCGCGGGGGTGGCGGGGGCGCGGCCGGGGCGTGGCCGGCTCCGGCCCGGGACCCCCGCCCGGAGGTCCCCGCGCTCGGTGTTGAAGCGGAGGTGCTCGGAACGCGGTTGCCTCCGAGACGGTTCGCCAAAGGCCGGGCAGGTCGGGACAAACGGGACTGTGAGCTCCGGGCCGGGTCAGGGGCTGGGCCCGAGTCCGGCTTCCTGGGTTTGCGGTTGTTATGTAATGTGACACCTCTGGGAGAGGGTCGGGGCCGCCAGCTTCGGGCCACCGCGAGCTGTTTCCGCAGACGCCACCTGTGTGTGTTTTCATTGCACCTTTTTCGTAGGAAGCCTAGTCTCTGTAGGTAGCCCAGTCTCTCCCTAGCCCAGGCTGGCCCCAAATCACAGCGATCCGCTTGCCTCTGCAGGGCTGGGGTTCAAGGCGTGCGCCACCACCCCGGGCCTGCTGACAGCGTGTCGGTTAGCCTGTCCAAAGGTTTCAGGCTGGCCCTGTACGCACTAGGCTGTGGAGGCTGTCCTTGAATTCCTGATCCTCCTGTCGCCAGGAATGGAAAAAAAAAAAAATGCGTGGTGGCGCACGCCTTTAATCCCGGCACTGGGAGTCAGAGGCAGGAGGATCTCGGAGTTTGAGGCCAGCCTGGTCTACAGAGCGAGTTCTAGGATAACCTGGGCTATACAGGGAAAGCTTGCCTGGAAATACAAGACCTAACAAAAGAGAAAGAAAGAAAGGAAATCTCAGCGCGTGGAGCTGGGCACGGTGACACAGCTTGTCCTCACCCATCAGTTAGGGAGGTGGAGGCAGGGGGGCATCGGAAATCACCCCATCCTGAGCTGCGTGAGACCTCGCCCCAAAACCCAGTACCAAACGGGACCTGTTCTTTCCTGGATTTTCGTCTATTTTTTTTTCTCCCTTGAGACGAGATTTCTTTCCACAGCTCAGACCTCTGCAGCCCACCCTTCTGCCTCCGCCTCCCTGCTGATGCGGCGGCGGGCTGGAGTCCCGCGCGCGGCCACCGGGAGGCGCCGCAGGACCCGCGCAGCGCCGCTGTCCTCGCCTGACCCTGGCGCGCAGCCGCCTGCACACAATAGCCGCTCATTGTTTCCCGCGTCCGTGCGGAACAGCTCCCCTAGGGAAGCCGCGAGCCACCGGGTTAAACCGAGGGGGACACGTCATGACCCTCCGAGCCTGGGGGGCAGGCAGCGGGAGAGAACGAGCCCCAGCCTAGGACCAACGAAGAATGCCGTTTTCGACTCTTGGCTCTAGAATACACCGGCCCTCGCCTCCCCCCACTGCGGTCTGTCTCCGACCTCTGCTGAAGCAAGCGGGGACGCGGAGGCCGGCGACAGGGGTCAGTGACCACTGGCTGGCAGGCATGCAGAGCCGCCCAAGGAGTGGCAGGTGCCTGAATTCAGCTCAGGTTCGTGGCACCGCATCACCGGCCGGCGCATGCACCCTCTGGTCCGGAGCTCTGGGGAACTGTTTGCACCCTGATATCTTCCCCCTCTAATAGGCACAGCGCTCCGGCCCCACAGTGTCGGGAGAGTGGGGTCTTTGCAAAGGTTCTCATTCAAGGAGGAGACCTCAGGGGTGGGGCCTTTGCCCAGCATGTAGACCGCGCGCCCCTAGCACTGGGGCAACTGTGGGGTCCACCCCCCCCGCCCCCACGAACTGGCGTTGGCAGCACAGGCCTGTCATCCCAAGCAGCAGAGAGGACCAGGATCAGGAGCGCGAGGTTATCCTCGGCTACATGAGTTCAAGGCCAGCCTGGGCTACGCTGAGACTTTTGTTTCAAAAACAAAAATAAAAAAGTGATGGGGGGGGGCCGGACTTGGAGGGACTGGCCTGTCATCCTAAAAGCTGTCTAAGGTGAAGCGGAGGAATTGTGGGAATTTCTAGACGACTTGGGCTCTGCATTAATACCTAGTCTCAAAAATAAACAAGATGGTGAGATGACTGACGGAAAGCGCTGGTCGTGCATGGATGACCTAAGACTGACCCCAAAACCATGGTGGAGAGAGAAGCCACTCTGCGAAGTTCTGTGACCCACGTACACATTTCAGCACGGACATCACATACCATTAATAACGAATAAAAAGGCAATCAGGCTGGGCTCGCCAAACACACCAAGTCCTTGGTTCCATTTCAAACACCACAGAAACCGAGCATTGCCGGCACATAGAGGCAGAAGGGGTGGGGTCAGCTCAAGGTCAGCCTGGGCTAGAGGAGACCCTGGATCAAAATTAGGAGTCATTAGACTTTGGTGTTTGGTTTTTGAAGCAAGGTCTCTGGACAGCCTGAAAGCCATTATGTATTATGTAGCCCAGGCTGGCCTCGAACTCACAGAGATCGCCTGCCTCTGCCTCCTGAGTGCTGGGATTCAAAGGCGTGGCGCCACCACCGCCTGGCAAATTAGTTCTATTTTAGCCAGGCAGTGGTGGCGCACG